AAGCCGGCAAATAAAGCGGAGGAACAATTGCAAATAGGGAGATATAGAGACGGATAATCGAGTCAAGCCGTAAGTAAAGGGTGTAAATCGTTGTGAATTATAGTGTATGTTTAAGTTAAAGTGACTGTGGAAATTCTGTGTATTATAAAGTTGTATCAAAAAATAATAAACTAGTTTTAATTAAGAAACGACTTGTATCGCTAAAGTTTCATCAGAAAGAAATTATACGGGAAATTAACAAACGAACAAAGACGTAACATGCAATTCAGTCAGAGAATTAGTTAGGGAAAGAAAATATTAAGTTAGCCAGTGTGTATGTGATTAGCCATAACAGGCGATATTTTAGAGTGAGTTTCACAGTTTAATAGATATAAGGAGCATAATTCGTCTTGACAAAGGGTGTTTAAAGTAATTGAACCCGTCTGTGTGAACTTTGATGAAAAGGAGACAATTATTTGACTTTTCAGAATACAACTGTGGTAACCCATGGGGTAACATAAACGAATTTGTTGAAAAAGTAGATTAAGAAACAGAGTATAGAAAAATAGTTTGTCTTGTCAATTCGGTTCTAAAGTAACTGAACCAGCCTGTCTGGACTTTAGACAAAAAAAGATAATTATTTAGAGTTTGAGATACAACTGTGATATCCATAGTGTAAAGAATTTTGTACTTACATTTGACTTGTTTTGAATATATTATTTTAAAACAAGAGAATTGTGTGCGATGTGTGCTGTCCGTTTATTGTTTAAATTTGAAGCCAACAAGTCACAGACACCTACTGTAGAAGAATCCTTAGCCCACTCATATATACATAAAAATGGAGATTTTCGTGTGTGAATGTAGAGTGAACATTTGAACATAGAGGTATGTCACACTCCTATTAGTGAAGGATTTTGCCGAATGATACATAGCTCAAATTCTCATGTTGAATGCAAATCTCTAAGGCAGAATAGCAAGAGTAATATAGCTAATTTATGCATTGAGGTGAGTCATTGTATCGGAAATTGTACAACACTCGCTGCTATATGTAACAACCAGATAAACATAACAATGTAGCACTCTTAGCTTGGTTTCCATTGATATTTTCCTACCTTGCACTAGACTGCTAATCTTCTGGAATTTATCCTTTGCTATGCTAATTCGTTTCTTAATTTCTGTATCAGATTTACCATCAGACATTATTAAGCTTCCCAAATAGTTAAGCTTTTCCACTTGTATTATGGCTTTGTTATTTGAAATTGCTTGTTTATAGTGGTATAGTCAATTTCGTTATGGACAACATCACCTGGGCTTTTCTAAGTCCAAATATGCTTTTATGTGATTTTTAAACGAAGTGTTTATGATTATTGACTCTTCACCAATATATCCATCTCTCTCTTCTCCCATTCCATGTTCCTAATCCATGACTTCCAACTCCTCCTCCTCCTGTTTGATTTCCAGCCTGGGAACTCAGATCTTTCAGTATAATGATAACCTCTTGAGACTTGCATTGAACTTTTGCTTTTTGTAGTATCAATTTCGTCCTTACTTCTTTGATCATTGGAGCGTAGACTTGAATGGTGAAAATGTCAAAAGTTGCCCTCTTAGTTTCACAAACATAATTCTGTCTGACAAAGTCCAGTATCCTAAGACGCTTTTTTTTTTAAATCTTTCGTGTACGTTTTTTTATGTTTCCAACAAATCTGTACAAGAAAAGTAAATCCAAAGGATGAGAAGTAAGAAAACATTCTAGGCACGAGGTACTTATTGTAAACCAGGACGTTTTCTCAAACATTACTAATACCACTCCTTTTGGTTGCCAAGTTCATTGAGTAATTTCCTTCATATTCACAAGCTTACTGACTGCATCAAAGTGATAAAATACACACAATCTCTCCCTCTCTAGAGAAAGGATTACAATAACAAAAGATTAAAAATTTGTGCATTGTATTGTTAGATTGATATTTAGCACTTGAAAGTGCAGTTATATGCTAGATAAATAAATTAATAAAAACTCTAGAACCCAAGCGCTTTCTAAAGGTGGACCTTTCGTCTTCAGGGGCAAACTGGGAATCAGATAACTAAAAATACACTGACATAATTAAACTGTTTTTGATCCTGTTTTAAAAAACAAGTAGTAAGTAACATTAGCTAGAAAATTACTTTATTTATAAATATTAAGCTTACTTCCTTTATATTTTCCACCACAATCATAACAAGTAGAACCATCTCTACCACACACACCACAATCATCTTCAGTCAGAGGCTGGCCAGTTATATGCAGACCCAAACAGTTTCTTTGTTCCAAAGAAAAAAACATAAAATCTTCAGCAAGAGATTCATCATTTCCACAGATCTACAGAGAAAATGTTAAAGGCATTGAATTAGATCTTGTAACATCCTTCTTATTAAAAGTAACAGATAGTTAAAATTAATCTATTTTAAATTAAAGTTGTTTGTAAGTTAATAAAACGTTTAACCACCACATATAACACAATAAAACATAGAGATTAACTATTCACTTTACCTTGATAATTCTAAAAATACTCAGAACATGTCAGATAAAAGAACTAACACAAAACAAATACGATTACATAATGTAACAAAATCAATACCATGACAAGCTGAAAACTGTACCATTGATTGATGATAAGGAATAAAACAAAATGATATTTAGATTACTTTAAATGAAGAACTTGTTTGATGTATTTCTTACTATGTACACACATTTATGGCCTTTCACTACTAAAATGATTGAGAATATCTCACCTTCTAGCCAGATCCAGCAAACATAGATTTTTAACCCTTCAGTGTAATGTTTGTACTTACCTTTATCTATATAAATACATGTCAATATATGTGTGTATCTGTTCCTTATACGTTTCCACATTTCTTGATCAATCAGCACCAAACTTGACACAGTGATACAGGATGACATGAGGGGGGGGGGGATCATATTGACAGAATTCTTGAAAAAAGTATGTCTTTCTTTTCAGTACTGGTACATTTATATATTTTTATTGCGCTTTAATGTTTATTATGTTAAGAAAAGAAAATACAAGCACAATTTCCTATCATTTGCTAAAAAACGAGTTTTTATTTCACCCATCCAATGAACAGGTACTCCAGCTAGTAGCTTAGAGACAAAAGTTACAACAGCAATAACTCATTTAAACAGGTCACTTGAATTCACATTCATAAATGTATACTAGGCCTCATAATCCAAGAGAGACTCATGAATTACATGTTAAGTCATGTTTTTGAAATATACAAAAATATCATACACACTCACTAATGCAATAAAATTTATTTTATTCAGCACAGAAATGAACTGTAGTTATTTTAACTAATAGCTCTGTAGGCAATGAGAGTCAAATTAATTGCAACATAAGTAATCTACCAAAATTAAGTTACAACCAATTTTAATTCCTAAAATATCTTTTATCTCACTCAGAATATTGAGAACTAGTACGTTAATTCTTAAAAATCAAGGAGACAAACATGGTAAATTTCAAATATATTAATTAAATGTTGTTTTTTTTAATTTTCTGTTTTACATAAATAACTGTTATTTCAAAAATATTCATACACTAAACATAAGTAGACAGATGTTATAATTTTCCTATACTAAAAATGTATTTCCAATAGGTACTTCCCTCCTCTCACAAGATTAGCTATTCTCATTTATTGCTGCCCTCTATATGCTAACTTTTTTACTATGCATGCCACAAACCTTCCATATCCCTCCTATTGGAATCAAATGAAATAAAATGGAATCCAAAGTGTGTCTTTTGCAAATCATCATGGGTCACCTACCCACCAATAGGAGAATAGTATACTTACGTGACGCATGTGACTACCTCTATGCGCCTCTACCAAATTATCACTTCAAAGTTTGGCAGATGACAGAAGCAGCGGAAGTGAATGGGGAGGAAGGGTGAGAAGTGTTAGAAAAGGGAATTAACTATTGGAAATACATTTTCAGTATAGGAAAATTATAAATTCTGATATGGTACATTGATTAGGAGGAGGGACCACTGTGAGGGAAGAATAGACGTACCCCCCCCCCAAATGCAACGTTAATCAAATTATATTAATTATTAATTTCAAGTACTTGATTGCTACTATAAAGTTGATGACACATTAAATTTATTTGTCACCCTTTAGTGGTTCGCTTGCAAACTATCTGCACGCTCATCACAGCAATGTACCCTCTGGTGTCACTTAGTGGCCCTAACAACCAACTCTCTGGCAGCAGACCATTTCTGCTGATCAAGTGTCATGGCAGTCTAAAAATTCACTCTGTGGTGGAAGACAGCTTCTGTCTACCTTGGCGACCGAGCAGCGTGCCCTCTTGTGAGTAACACTCAAACTACAGGTCATTTGCATAGAGGTTAATAGTTAAAGTTCTCGTTGTAATAAAACCTTTAGTTTATTAGTTTTTTTATTCATTGAAACCTCTCAGTCCATGAATTATAAGTAACATGTAAACTGCAGTATCAAAGTATTAAAACAACACGTTTGTAGTTTTACTTGAGTTGATAAGAGATACCTCTATTCTGTATATTTGTGCGAGATTAGTTGTTTCTGAAAAACATCATATTGGTTGTATATTTTTAATGTATTTATGAGCAAAGTTACACATTGAATTATGTATGCTGTACACATGGTTGATATCGACCCGATTTTTAATGTTATAAGCCCTCAGTCTTACCACAAAACTACCGGGGGCCTGATTAAATACATCGATCGTCAGAGTGAGGGCTATTCTATAAGCAACATGAACATGAGTTATTCGAATAACTTGTTATACATATACATACACACACACGCGTATGTATATATATATATATATATACAGTACGCCAATCGTGAATATTAAATTACAACAGTTAGGGCACAATGATACATTAAAACTGTTCTACACAACATGAAAGCAGCATGCTGTCAAGTACGAAATGAATATCTGGAAGGACGTTGAACACACACACATTTTGTATAACATCACGCATACCAAATTTAATCAAACTACAGCAAAGACTGTATCACGTTACATTCGAAACATGCATAAAGATATAAAAATTAAAACGAGTTGTTTTGTTATGTATTCACATTACTATTCAGCTACCCAAAGTAACAAAGTTGTCATTGACAATTATAACTACCAAAGTCTAACTACTGTTTTTCATCTGGAACTGATACACACAGAGCTTGAGTTGTGTAATCATGTGGAGCTCAGTTTCACAGCCCCTATAATACTTACCTTTCCAAAGGCTTCTGATGTTTCGAAGAGTTTTCAAGCAGTCGACGACAGTCTCATATTTCGATTATTTGATGACGTCATAATGTATGTTGGCACAGAAAGGTAACTCAAATGTAGAAGAATGATAGATATATCACAAAGTAATGGCTGGAGACGGCTTGAATGGGTAATGAAGAAAAACTTTAATATAAGTTTACTTGATGATGACAAAACCTTGTCGAAACGTTGTACATTTGCTGTTATGTTAAACTTATATTAAAGTTTTTCTTCATTACCAATTCAAGCCGTCTCCAGCCATTATTGGTCTCAAAGTGGGTTCCTCGTCATCGAATACCACAAAGTAGACCTACAATGAAGTGGGTCTGCATAAACGATATCAATTAGCAAGGTTGTGATAACCTATCTTTACGTTTACGTATGTCCTTCGACATTCTACAATAGGTACGATTTAATAAAAATTTCTAACAACATGACCCTTATCACAACAATTTCTTACAACAGGAATGACAATCCTGTTCGCTCCCCCTTAACTCAAGCCCTAGATATACATATCTTTAAATTTTTTGTAAGCTGCACAAAAGTCAAAATGCATTCACATTAGATTATTTTTACAATCTGTATGTATACCATTGCATCATTTTATTAATTTTGTCTTTTTTAAACTAAGTTTGTCTTACAGATGTGATAACTTTAAAAATGGAGCATAAGATAAACTAAATCTAGAGAAATTGGATAAAAATATAAACAAGAAGTGGCAAATCTCTTCCTTATGCCTAAAGTGTATCGGAGAGGGTGCTAACACTCAGTATGTAGGGATGGCACAGACGCCAGTATTAAAGCATTACAAAAGTCATGTGGATCTTCTTCTCAACAGGTCACCAGAAGCTAGATATCAAGAGCTAGCTGGCATAGTCGCTCTATCTCCAGTATAGATGCCGCTTTTCAGATATCCAGAACATCCCAAAGACGAAACCAGGCAATAGCCAAAACCGAGATTTCATATTTTCGTTCATCACCATCTTTCTTCAACAGGCCTAGTGCCTAATTAGTTCTAGTAATAGTTATAATTCTAACATCAACTGATAGAGTAAAACAGTATCCATAATCTCTGATTACCTATTTCAATGTTAATCTGTGCAAAATTTAAAAAACGAAAAATCACAATTCTAATGTAAATAATGATATTATCCCTTGAAGTTAGTTTTCTTACAAATATTTGGCGTATCTTCAAAAAGCTTAAGTACAGGGTGAAATAGGATTTACCAGCAAATAATAGATGAAAATTAGATGACTGTAACATGTAGAAATTCAATGCTTTGTACAATATATAATCGGTGTCTTTAAGAAGCCAACCCCCATATTGTGTATGACGCGAAGGAGTTAAAAAAAATCAATATACATACAGGTCACCTGAAGCTAGATATGAAGAGCTACCTGGTATAGTCGCTCTATCTCCAGTATAGATGCCGCTTTTCAGCTATCCAGAGCATCCCAAAGTCGAAAACAGGCAATAGCCAATACCGAGATTTCTTATTTTCGTTCATCCCCCATCTTCCTCAACAGGCCTAGCGCCTATCTAGTTCTAGCATCAGCTATAATTTTATCACCATTTGATAGAGCAAAACAGTCTTCACTGTCTTTAACTGCCTAATTTATAAAGCTTTAGAAAACACATTATAACTTAGTAACCCACATATGCCACTTTATAAAAAAAAGTAAATCACTGGAAAAACAAATAGAACATAATTTCCAATCGTAAAATGTCATTCTATTGTAAAACAATCCTAAAAATAGCATTCTAAAGTTAACTAAATGAAAGGTATAGTGATGAAAGCTGAGATTCTATTCAAACACCAAGCTTTCGATAGACATAGTGGGGAAACCAGTAATGTAGGGATTTTGTTCTCCACGTCGAGACGGCTTAATCTGCTATGTGATCATTAGCCATATCAAGTGATATGTCTACTTCTAACCCTACTTTCTTTGTTTGTTTCTTTTTTTCAAGTTCAGTAGCCAGCTCTACATAGCTTTTTATTCAGCGATAATTTTTTCCCCTTAATACTTGTAATATAGAGACAAGGGCGGCGGAATCG